AGCACACGGTCCCAATATGTTATCTGGGCTTACATGATGTTGAATAATTTGGCTATTGTTTAGTTCTCCCTCCCCCTCATCCATATCTTTGCAATCTAAATTCAAGCCACTCTAGGTTACCTACCAGGATTTCACTTGTCTCTAAACGTTTCTCTTCCCTGTACCTGGAATCCTCTCCAAACTCCCAACACTCCCTTTTATCTAACTCCCACTCATTTTTTTAGATCACATCATTTCCTCTGGGAAGTCCTTCCTGATCATCAAGTATGAGTTCAGAACCTTAAAATAACTTTCATGGTTTATTCTGTATTTCTATCAAAACACTTCTATAAATTACTGTGATTGTCAGTTCATATTATGCACACCCACAGGGTTAGGGAATATATTTGTTTTATTCGTCATGCTATCAATAGTGCCTAGTAAGTATAATGCCTCACAATTAAGGGCCCAATTAATATTAAGGGAATTAAAATAAACTCCTTTTCTGAGTTTCATATTTCATTTCAGAAAATAGATATGATTATTGATGCTATTTTGCAGGACCTTCAAATTAGAGGTTCTAATTTTGGTCACACATTTTGTTCCTGACTTTAAGAAAAAGCTTTTCAGAGACTAATACAGGTTGTGTCAAAGTCTAAACTGTGTCTTCCAAATGCTTTGAAATAATAAAATAAAAGATAGTGAAACAATATGTGTAGTTGTAATAAAAACAGAAGTTTCTGTTCTACCAGATTAATGTTGAATTTGCCAGTCTGTGGGATGTTTTTTGCTATTTCACAAAAACCTGTGAGGCGATATAAGTCAATCAGTCTGCTTCTAAACTAAGCCAGCTTAAAGATTTTTGTGGGCAAGGTGAAATACAGCAGTAATATAGCATGAATGCATACTGGTGGAGACCATTGAACCTGCTGAACTACAATACGATCAGGAGCCAGAACTTGGAAGGAATTTAGGGTAGTAATAAATGTTGCTATGAACCTTCTCTACATGGCTTCCTCTGTTCTTAGCAGCAAACACACTTTTAGAGACGAAGAATCTTTTTCAGTTTATTTTTATTGTTGAGAGTATTACAAATGTCCCCATCCACCGACTCCTGCTTGTCCCAGGCCTTCACTGTATTAGTGTCTGTGTCCATGGGCTATGCATATATGCATATCTTTGGTTCACTAGAGGCAAAGAAGTTTAATATTCTACTAAGAAAAGCTCCTAATAATACTATACTCTTCTAGCCCCATTCATCTCCAGAGGGCCTTAAATATACGTACTCCCTTTTTCTCATTTCACATACACATGAGGACCCCAACCAGGGAGTGGCTCTGAACTCAGAATTCCCATTGTGACGATTCTAGTATTATGGAGGAGAACTGTTATTTTGAAATAACATGTGCTATTCCTAAAACAACTCATTTTTTGTAGTTTATACGAGAACCAGAGATGAAATATGACTATGAGCAAAATAAGCAGAATCACAATTCAGAGATATGGCTTAGAAAAACAAAATAAAAGAGTATGTTTACATAAATTATAAGCACTCCAGGGCTGGGATATTATTCTCTCGCCAACACTGTCAACCATTTATATAACATTGTGTACACTTGCAGCAATATAAGATGAATAATAATAATTAATACAGTATGATTGTTCTGAATTCCACAGACTTCTCCTTACCGGATTCCTGCAGCCTCGTTTTTTAAACGGTAGAATCCTAACTGACCATATGTATTTCCCAACCTTTGCTTGTTAGGCTTCTTTTTGTCTTATAAACCCACTAGTGATTATTTCGAACAAATTTCCGCTATATCACTACTAACAAGCCATGAACTTCAAATAGTGAACTTGGATAGCATTGAAATCATTGGAATGTTGGCCAAGAGCTTTAACCTCAAAGGAGTGTGTGATTTCAGTGACTTCTGGTGTCAGATGGCTCAGAAATGGAGAAAAGAGAATGGGGTAGAGGAGTAGAAGAGGGGATAAAGAAATTAACCCTGAAGCCATCCCAGTATCATTTAAAATACCAAGACATCAAATTCAAAGGTATCTTTTTTAACCTTTTTAGGCATTTATTTGTTGAAGAAATCAACAAATGAACATGGGGAATCCCTACTGAAACAACTTTCTCATTGGCTTCCTGCCTCAAATCTTTTCTTCCTCTCCAAACTATCCCACATGCTTCTCACAGCACAATCTTCCAAAAGTATCATTCCAGCAATGATTTTCCATTAACTTTCCAAGAGAATCAAGCTAATCACTGCCTGTACAATAATTCCTTAGCATGGCCCCCAAAATCCAGGGACTACATTTCTAGTCCCATCTCCTTCCATCCCTTCCACACAGTCTATGAGCCCACAGTAGTAATCCTCCCTGCGCCGCGCCCTCAAACATCCCTGGTTCTTCAATATCTCAGTGCCTTTATTCTTTTACTCTAACACACTTTTCACTTTGTGAACCTGAAAAACCTACTCAGCATTCAGGATGCTATCATGCCTGACTCTCCTCTTAGGTTAGTTGCTTCCTCCTTATCAATTCTTAGTCCGTTTATAAGACACCACAATTGCATGTTATTTACTTCAAGTGGTCGTCTCCTTCAAGAGACCAAGTTCATGGGCAGAGATGGTCTTCTTCAGTCCTGAGTACGGATGACCGTATTCAGCCCTGGGTCAAGCACAGTGTCTAACACATAGTAAGTACTCGGTTAGTATTGTTTAAGAAAAACACTAAAATTAAATACAAAAATTATATATTCTTATCAGAAAACACAGTGACATTCTTGACAATGCAAATCTCCCACTGCCCTTAGCATTTGCCTCCAAGCAGAATAATAAGCAATAAATGCCTGGTACAAACAATTAGCCTATCAAGCAGGTGCTGGCTGGATCCCTGAACATGTTCTGTAGTGCCATGCTAGACCTCATTTACTTTGTGAAGCCCAGAAACGGACTCCCACCCCCACTCAAGCAGTAAGCATAAACAATACCAAGAGCTAAATCCAGCAGCCTCTAAGTGCACTTAAGTCCCATTCAAAGTCAAGGGAAATTATGCATGCATGAGAAGTAGAAAGGGAGGGGAGATAAGAAAGATGGCTTGCTGCTTCTTGGAAAACAGGAAAAAAGACCACAAAGGTTCAATTCCTCAGAAAATTGTCACCTATTTGCTGTCTTGTTTTTATCTTTTTAGGAATTTATTGGATTAGGAAAGACCTTTGCTACCTGACTGTATCCTAAACTTCCAGTTGCCTTTGCATTAGTTAATGTCTGAGCTTCCTGGTTAATTGTGGCGGGCGAGCAGCGGGCTGCACAGATGTCAGATGTCCTACTCTATCAGATGAAGAGGTTCCTGCCTCAGGCTGTTTATATATGACCTACCAGGATTTCCTGCTGCATGATGAAATAATTAGGGGGCCCTCCGTGAGTAGAATAATGTTGCAAGTAAGTTGTAACAGCATTACATTAAATAACAAAAACGAAACATTTGGCCTTATCTCCATCAGAATCTTCCTAAGGTTTATTGTGAACATTCTTCTGTTTCTCATTTTTATAATGGTCACATGGGTGCTAATTTTAATGTTCACTAGAGAACGCAGTAAGTTTAGCAAGGCTTTCTTTAATGCTTGTGCTACAATTTGAGTCAAGAGTAAACAGGGTGGGGAGATATCTTTTTTGTGTGTTTAATTTTCTAAATAAAGTTTGTCTTTTGCCTCTTATAACAAAGCAATTCTATAGACTCAACAAAACCTGATGGTCTTTTAAAAGAATTAGTAATATTTTCTAAATTGATAGAGTCTTAAGTCTTACTGAATTCTAACTTCTGACTTTGACCCAGAAAATAAGTATACATCCTCTTTATAATATTTTTTTTAATTTAGTCCATAACGAGTATTACCCACATACAATTTCCATGATTTAAGGGCATTGTCCCATATACAAACGCGAATCAAGATTAAGAACAAAAATTCTAAGCAACTTTGATCATTAAAATGAAATGTCATGAATTCTAGAAACACATCTGGGCATATGGGGCAAATCAGGCTAAGTTATATTAGCGTGTTTTCCACTATCATCCTGTGCATCCCTCTGCATTAGTGCTTAACACCTTCTCTGATAAGGCTGCAAACTCCTTGAGGGCTGTTTGTCTCGTGCATTTTTGTATCTCCTGCTCCTAGTGCAGTAAGTCCTTGGCACAAGTACTCAATACATTTTCATTAAACTGAATTATAAGTGTGGAGTGAGGAATGGAGAACAAGAGATCAAGAAAAAGGTACTGGTCATTAATGAATTCCTCACTCCTTTACATTTTTTCCAATGTAAGTACAATGTAATCTTTCTATGGAGGTACAATATCACCTTCATCCCCTTTAACATCTCCCCTGCTATAATTGTTCTAAAAAGGGTAAGGATTCCCAGCCCTCTCCTCTGAATAGTGGGCCTAATACTATCCCTTTACATATAAGGAGTAAAAGAATTATACTAAATTACTAAATAAATAGAATCATAAATTGCTAAATAAAATGAAAATCCATCTGAGTTTCATTGCTTGAAGATCATACACCCATGAAGATGGCCAGGTGAATTCCTAAAAAACCCAGAGAACACAGTTTTAGAGAAGAAGGGAGGTTTCCTGTTGCATGCAGGAAAGATTTAAGAAAAATAAGACCCTGTGAGAAGTAAAAGAAGAGCAAGTAGCTTTTGCCACAAGTGCCATTCTGATCCGTTAACAGCAGCTACCACGTAGAGGTAGTGTCCAGGTTTTGTGACAAAGCGCAGCAATTAATTGATGGTGCCTGCCTTAGCCTTAGAACAAGTGGCAATATGAGTACTCACTCTCTGTACCCCAGCAGCTCTCCCCAGTAACCAAGAAGGCTGCAGTTATTTTAGGGGAGAACTGGAGAACAAAGAGATGTTCAAACAACAGCCTTGAAAGGAAAGCAAAAATTCATTTAAGTACAATAATACCCAGGTGTGGCACTCTTTGCCTTGTTTCATAAACACTTAATGAGCACTTACCTATCAAATAATACTCACTGGCCTCAAGGAATTAATGGCCACCTATAGGGGGAAAGACAAATAAATAGGAAATTTTAATATAAGGTGATTAATAATATAAAAGTCTACAAATAATGTTAAAGGAGTTCAAGTTGAAGTGACTAATTTCGGCTAAGACGAGGGATGTCAGAAAATATTTCTGAGAGAAAGACATCATCCAAACAAGGCTTTCAGGATGAGTTAAATGTGGCCTTGCAAAAAAAAAAAGAAAGAAAGAAGACAAAAGACAAGAGGAGAGAAGGAAGAGGAGGAGGAGGAAATGCATTTGGGCAGTATATACAATGATGCTCAATGAAATGTCCTTAGTTCAGTTGCACTGCTGAGTTCAAGTGATGTGGAGGATGTTAAAGATAAGGCTAGAGAGGTGAAGAACAGTCAGAACTCAAAGGACTTTGTCAGTCCCAAGAGACTGGAGAACTGTAAGCAGGACAGTAACTTGCATCTCTTCCTTGACCTGCATCTCCTATTCCTTCTCTACTGTCTCTGTTCCCTCACTATATAAGCGTATTAATGTCTCCCCTCCTTGAAAAAGAAAATATATTTTGATCCTTCATTCCTGCATCTTTTCCAGTTTCTTTCCTTCTCTTCCCAACCAAGCAGACAAGCTGAAAACATCTATACTCTCAGTCTCCACAGTTCTTAATTTATGAATAGCCGCATCTAAGAGGAAATAAAAACAATGACTTTGTGCAAATGCAGGTGCCTTATGTTTCTCAGGAGTGTGAATGCTGAGCAACACCCTGCTAAAGATGAGGCAAATGTCTAGAAAGAACAGTCCCCCTGAGCTGCAGAAGTGGAGGCGAAATGTGTTCAATCCAGTCAGGAGCTCCTCAGAAATGCAAATTGCCCACTTGAAATAAGAAGGCACCTATTGTTCAGCCTTGATTGCCTCTGCAGGCCGACAGGCAAGGGGGGAAAACCCTTGAAGGAGAAGGGAGTCTAAGTAAACTGCACACGTAGAGGAACAAATAAAAATGAAGCCAAACTCCAACAGGGCTTCCATTTTTCATCTGCGAAGCGAGCAGGGATTATAGAGTAAAAACCATTTATGATTCTGCATTCTTTATAACGTAATTCTCCGTGCTCCTTTTTGTTGTCCCTATTATCTCATAGATATTGATAAAGCTGAAAATTTTAATGTGTCCTGTGCAGCCTGACCTCACCGTCAATAAATGCACAGGGTGATTACAATTAAATGTGCCTCTAGTCATATAAATACTTTATGCCAAGAGCATATATTTACAATAGGAAAAATAATAGCTTTCACTTTTTCCCCATCATTTAGACATATCCTGCATATAGATGTTCTGTTCCTATCTTGCTTCTGCAAGTTCTGTTCTTTGGCCCTGGAGGAAAATATGGTGATTTTTTTTTTTATTTCTAACTCAGTTTTATTCCGAACTCAATTTCTTTTCTCAAGAAAAAGAGTTAGTTACAAACAAGTATTAAAACTCTCAAAGTCTGAATTTAGAACAGAATGAATCCTTCACGAGAAAATAAACAAGGTGCCGCTTTTTCTAAAATAATTCTCATCTAACCTGTTTACCAGCTGAGAAATAAAAGATCTTGGTATTTAAACTTGAAACTCTTTTTCATTTCTTTATCCCCATCTCTTTTTCATCTTTATAAACAGAAGTCTATAATTACTATACTAACAAAGAATACAGCTGAACTATACACAGGTTAAACCATTCTAAATAAAGTACAGAATAATAAATAATAGAATAGTCAAAGGAGCTAGCATAATAAACACATGAAGAGCTACACCACATCCTACAATGTAAGATGTCTCCCATTTCTAAGTCTTTTCAACTTCCTGAGTGAAAGAGACCAAAAGAGGCATAAGCTAACAATCATAGAAACGGGAGCGATCACACAGTCCAGCCTCTTAACTACATTTAAAGCCCCCATTAATCATAGTAACAATAGCAACAATAGTGGTGGAGACAGTAGTGGTTGTAGTGGCATCAACAATTACCACTCCACGAATATTTACAATGTGCCAGGCACTATGCTAACTGCCATAAGCACACTATCTCATTTAATTCACATAACAATATGGTTGGATGATTATTATTCCCACTACAATGAACGTACAGGTACAGTTCTGATTGGTGAAGGGCTAGCTTCTGCCCTGACCATTTTTCATATGGGAACCTGATAGGACAGCCCTTTCTATTTGAAAACAGTTGTGATTGAGAACTTTTTCCTCATATGGAGCCCAAACTGGTTTCATGAAACTTCCAGTCATTCATCTTGGCACTTTCCTACAAAAGTAAACAAAGTCCAATCTTTCTTCCAAGCAACAGCTGTTTAATACTGCCACCACGATGTCATTTGGGCTGGCAAATGATCTGGTTTGGTGTCCCTGCAGCCAGATCTAGCACCACAGGTAGGCTAACCCATTGAGTCTGCTCCTGAAAACTCAGTTTTGAGACAAATTCTGAGACAAAACTAGCTCCTAACCAGGAGAACTATAGAAAATGCCGCAGCCTTTATCCTTTATTACAGCCAATTATCTCTAAGAGGGGCCTTTCTCCGGTTCATGGTTCTGGTCCCTATGACAAACCCCATCGTAATTTTATTTCACTCTGAATTCTTGAATGATCTCTAATAAGAAATGTAAGGCATTAGCGAACTCTCCAGAGCAAATAATTCCAGGTGTCACTCTTGTACCCTTTAAATAGTATCTTGCTGACTGACAATGCTCCCAGTATTTTAAAAGAATTAGAACTGAAATTACAAATAACTAACATTTATTAGTGACTACTGTAAGCCAGACACTATTCTAAGTACTTTACTTACAATAACTCACTTAATCCTGGCAACAATCCTATGATATGGGTATGGTTATTATCACCATTTTAATAATGAGAAAACTGAGGCACAGAAGGAAGTTGGCTAACTTACCCCAAATCCTATGTAGTTCTGTAGGAGCTGGAAAACAAATCCTGGACATATGACTGTAGGACTTTTAATCACTACAGTATTCTGCCTCTCAGTAGTTGCTAACCTCTCCCCATGCTAGCGTCTGGGCACTGCTTCTTATAGTTTGGCATGTTTCAGCAATTTGCCACAGAAAAGAGCTATCTGGTGCAGCAAAGTGCTTTTCCTGCTCCATACCACTTCCTCTTTTGTAAATTACCACATCTTTCTACTTATATGGGTGGCCCTGAGGGGAGCTGGGAGCAAGGAGACTTTGACTCAGCATTCAGAAATCAGGAATGCTGGCTGACCAACAAAAACTCAGTGTGAACCAGGCCTTCATGAGAAGTGAACAAAGAGACAGGCCACTGCTTCTAGTGGTATTGACCGTACAGTTCATCAGATATGCTGCTGTGGCCACCTCTGCCCCATGCAGCGACGCTCTGCAATGAAGACCCATTGGTCAACTACATCCGCCTTTGGTTCCATCTGTATCTTTTCAGATCTATTTGCTGTCCGTCACAGTCAGGAAATTGGGTCTGCTTTGCAAACTCATTGTCCTGGATCTGAAAATACAAAAAAAGCCAGTTTTGCTTGGAGTGGAGCCCACTCGAGTTTCTGCAGCCAAGTTCCAAGCCCACAACTGGAGCTAGTATAGTTGTATAAACTAGAGACATTTAGCCTTGTGGCCTTTCTTATCTAAACTGTGAGGACAGAATATAAGAAGATAAACTCTGCCTTTCATATTCAGCACAGCTATGGAACTTGAAAAGAAAAATGACTCTTTATGGAGATTTTTCTATTCACCATAGACTTTTTTTTAAAGTGAAAAATAAGGCTCCTTTTAAGATATCTCACCTTCTGTTCAAGTGCAATTTTATATCATAGTCATTTCTCACAAATTGTAATAACAATCTATCTGAATAGTCATAACTCAAAGAAAGAACTGTGTCTATTTTGACCAATATGATTATAACTGAATGAGTTGGTCAGTCATCTCAACAGAAAGTTTATAGTGAGCTATCCCACATACAGGCGATTTTAACATAAACCATTTTCTCAGCTTAACTAAGCAGTGGAGATCCTTATTTTAGAATGGAATAAATCTTCCCGAACTTGGCTCTGCCTCTCGTTTTTGGCTCCCTCATAACTATTTGCAGCTTTTCCTTGGTTGCTTTTTCCCCCTTCACATCCTTTCCTCCACTCCCACTCAACCCCAACCCCGAAAATACAAATCTTTCTTATACATCAGAATCCACTTGGCAAGCTAGACTACTGATTCAGGCTTCTTTTCCTGACTTAAAAACAAAACAAAACAAAACAAAAAACCCTTATCAGTTTTTCTGTCCCTAAATCCCTATGCTGCGATAGGGAAAAATGAGAAAACTTGATTCTCCCATTATCTTTTTTAAAGCAAAACATAACTAATCATCACACACACCCTAAGTCCCACAATCTTTTCCAGTTTCCAACAGAATAATTTCTTTTTTGAAACAATACAAATATACCTTTACTTTGAAAAGAGATAGGAACAATTTATCCATATGTATCTTTGCTGCTGGTGAAAAGAAGCTAAAATATACTGAGAATTCACCAACATTCTCCATCTTTGTCATGTGGTAATTCGGAGTAGTCCGCAAAGAGAGGCATTTTCTCCACACACATCTGTGTTGTAGTTCTGGCTACATGTGTTCTTGTAATGTTTTTTTCATTCAATATATTATCCTTCCAAATAGTTTCTTAGAGCCTATTAGCACCTCTCCACAAATTTTAGCAGCTTAGAGCCCATAAACTCCTCCTAGGCATCTCAGTAGTTGGTTTCTTACCCAGTATATAGAGGGCTGCTTTGTTAGCATTTCACTATCTGGGAAAAAAAAACAGAATAGAACAAATTCTCTGACCTGTGGGACAGAATTAGGTGCATGAAAACCTGTTGAGAGAAATGCATAAGCTTCTATGGGAGAAGGCATGCAGTTGTGGAAAGTATCAATATTCACCTTCTTACTTCGCCCTTCTCTGGTGAATGCAACGTTATTTGGGATTGGAGCCTGCTCTCTTCAGAAATCCAGAAACTCTTGGGTTTGTGTGTGTGTGTGTGTGTGTTGGGCTGGGGGGGGGGGGGGTAGGGGAGGGCTGTCACTTTTTCACAGTAGAGAGAGTGCTGGAGGTACTAACCAGGAAGACATCTGCTCTGGCTACATAATAATCTTCTTGAGACAAAGCAGGTTTTCTGGCTATAGCTGTGCAGATTGTGCATAAAATTAGCCAACCAAGGGATCAAGTGGGGCTAAAATCTACCTTTATTCAGCTGGACAAACTCCGTGCAATCAGGCTGTGACTGATGAAAGGAGGCGCCTTTTCCTGATTTGTGCAAAGGCACCAATGGGCTAGTGCTTATTCTAGAGAGGACCATCTCTGCCTCTTCGACTGCCACATCTTTGGCATTTTGAATACATGACAGCAACTTGATAATTATTTGGGGAATGAAAGGAGAGGAAGGAAAGAAAGAATTCTCTATGTAAAGTAGCAATAAGTGCAAAACTCAAGCAGAGATCTGAGATAAGGGCACCTTTCTTTGTTTTTACAATGTGCACTGTTGGATCTGGAAAGTCAAAGCGAAAGAAAAATGAGAACCCTATGTTGTCTTTGTGTTTTTATTCCTATATCCAAAAATAATCATGACAAACACAAATTGTATTGAGGTAAATTCATCTAAAACCCAATTTTTATCATCATGACACTTACCAGTTAGCCAAATGTTTTTAACTCCAAGAGTATATAAGATTCTTTTTAAAAATTTCTTTACTGATTAAGTTATTACATATGTGTCCTTATCCCCACATTAGCCCCCCACCCCCCCTCTCATGCCCTCTCTCCCCTGTTGTCTGTGTCCATTGGTTAGGCCTATATGCTTGCATATAAGTCCTTTGGTTGATCTCTCTCCCTTACCCCCATCCTCCCTTATCTTCCCTCTGAAGTTTGATGGTAAAATTCTTAATAATTAAAAAAAAAAGAACATTTCAGATAACCTTATGAGATAATACATCTCATCAAAGGTACAACTGTATAAGTTCTACCTGTAATCCAATACAGAAAATAGTGTGATTTTTAAGTTGGGGAGCAAAACAAAACTTCTGTAAACCTTTACTAGATTGTATTAGTTTCCTATGGCCGCTGTAACAAATTACCACAAACTTGGTGGCTTAAAATAACAGACATTTATTCTCTCAGAGATCCAGAGGCCAGAAGTCCAAAATTAAGGTGTCAGAGTGCCACACTGTCATTGGAGGCTCTGGGAAGAATCCATTTTTTTACCTCTTTCAGCTTCAGGGGTGGTTGGCATTTTGGCTATGGCTACACATCTTTCTGGTCTGCCTTCATAAAGCCTTGTCTTCAGTATGCGTATCTTCTCTCCTGCCTGTTTATAATCTCCCTCTGCCTCTCTCTTTTGAGAGTATGTGATTGCATTTAGGCTCACTGGCTAATTCAAGATAAGCTCTTCCTCTCAATATCCTTAACTTAATCGTATATTTTTTCCATATAAGGTAATATTTTAGGATTTGAGGATTATGAAGTAAATCGATGTTTGGAGGTACCATTTTTCTGCCTACTATATTACCTAAATAAATACTTATATTCTTAGTTTTCATGGTTATGTAGATTACTAGAGACCCAGTCCACGTGATTCATGCACTGGTACGGGGCATGGCCTGCGGGGATTGGCCTGCTATGGAAGCGTTGCTCAACCCGGTCAGCCGAGTGATGCTCCCACTGTGTTAGTGCACTGACCATCAGGGACAGCTCCTGCGTTGAGCATCTGCCCCCTGGTAGTCAGTGCGTGTCATAGTAACTGGTCAACCGGTCGTTCTGCTGTTCAGTCGCTGGGCTTTTATTATATAGGATAGTCATTTTAGGAACTCTCTTGAATCAGCAAAAATTCCTTACTTTAAGGAGATTTTCATTCAAAATCTGAATCCTAATTCAATTACAATGCTTAAAGAACATGTTTCACTTATGTATAGTTTGGTGAACCTCCTATACAGATTATGAACAAGATAAATTTTTACAATAGCGAGATATTTTCTTTATAGATATTATGCTAAACTTCTGTATCATAGTTATTTCTGAGCTGATGATGCCAAAATACTAGGCAAGTACACATCTGACAAGCCACCCCTGTTGGTTGTCAAGTTCAGCTCACATCTTCGAAAACTTTAATGAGCTGAACCAATTGGTACTTTGCTACTGCCAAAATGGTGTGTTCAATTACAATTTTATCAGATAATGGTGGTGGTAAAATCTACTCATTGTATTGACAACTACAGTGGAATGCTTAAAAGGTCTAGAATAAAGTTAAGCGAGAGATTAGGGATAAAAGGAGAGATGTTAGCTGTCCACACCGATTTAAAAGGAGCTAATAATATAATACCTATATCTCTACACCCTGAGAGGTCATTGTTTGTTGTTCTCAGTGCACCCAGAGTAGAACAGGGTCCTGAATACTGACCTAGGCTAGCTAAACTCCTAGGGACTGACTCATGAATGGAGCATTACACTCATTAACAATGAGTGGAGTGTGTTTTCCAGTGACCATGGACATAGGTCTGTCTATTCTTCAGGGAAATAGATCTTCCAAATAAAAATATTTGGCAGATTGACTTATAAAGTAGTTTTGTAAAAAAGGAATCTGAGCAAATTATGTTTGGAATGTTATTTCTTCTAAACCATGGACAACCTCAGGCACACATTAACAGTTTCTACAGATGGTTAATCTCATGTAAAACTTTATGAGTCTTACTTGCCTTACATCTACAAAGTGGTCTTATTTCCAAGTTTTAGGGGCTCCTCATTTTGCTCTAATGTACTGACTGTGCCTTGATTAGTTGGGTTGCAACTGAATAACTGAGTTGGGGTTCTCTAATGCAAGTGTTTTGGCTGCTTTAACAGTAATTTGAACAACATGAGCAAATAAGTAGATTCTATGTAAGGTTGATATTAAAGCTAAAATCAACCCAGTTAATCCCAATAAGTAGCTTTGATGTAAAGTAAACCTATTATCTTGACATTGATACTGTCAGTTACTACAAGCTTAATAAAATGAGGCAAAATCTATACTTACAACAAACATCTTCAGTAAATT